CTTCACTTCTACATCTGTAAGCTTTTTCTTTTTTTAAAATATTATGGCGGGAATATAATTATGGGATGTTTTCCAGGGGAGGAGGATCCTGTTTGCACTTGTAATTGTCTGTTTAAAGGGTTTTTGTTTGTTGCACATGGTGTCATATTTGAGCCTGATGAAGGGGACCCTGTGTGGCACCGAAAGCGTTTGCACCTCAATGACAACGTTGTGTCATTAAATGGATTTATTCTCACTATCTCCGGTGTGATGGTGACAGGGTGAAAGTTCCTTCCTCAAGGTATGGTCAGATTTTTCTTCCTTTGACTAAAAGATCCAAACACATAGTTGCCTGGTTGGGGGGGAGGGGAGGGATGGGGATGCACCCTTTTGATAGTTTGCCAGGAACAGCAATTGCAATCTTTGATTGTCCATTACATCTGATTCAGCAAAGTACACAGCTTTTATGCTCGTTTCTTGAGTGGTTACATTGATTGCGTTTGCTGAAGTCTGACAATATCAAGACTTCTCTGCTGTGCTTTAAATTGACCATTCATTACAAAACGATTGAAGTCTATTGCAAAGCAATTGTGCAATACCCCCTATGTACCCAAGTCAATGTATCTGAATGGGCTTCAAATGTTGTTTATGAAGATTGGCTGTTAAAGATTGACTTTTTAAAGTTACAAAGTTGCTGATCGATACCGGTTTGATCTTAAAATAGACCTATCCCAAGACAACTATGAGTCTATAACAGTCTAAATAACTAACTCAAGTACAAGAGCAAGTATTTAAACAATGGAAAGCAGAGGGTAGGCATGACTGCCAGGAACCTACCATTTGCAGAATGAGAAATCAATAGTGGGTTCCGTTTTCAGGAGTTTTTTCTTTTTTTTCCTGTTAAATGAGAACTATGAGGTGAGTGCTTTTCACTCACCTCATAGTTCTAGCCGACCTGTGACCATGAGACTGTCACAGGTCGGCTCAGTAGATCGGGAGGTGAGCTAACACATACCGGCGTTCGCTCACTTCTCGATCCTGTCACGGCTCTCTGCCGTGACAGGGGAGGAACTGGATTCCCCCCTCCCCACTCCGATCCACCAGCACCGACTGGCGGAACGGACGGGGGAGGGGGGCGGGTACAGCTGGCTCTGCCTCTAGATAGGCAGAGCCAGCTGTCACTCACGCAGCTGGGCGGATCTCGACATCGATGTCGGGATCCGCTCCGGCTGCGGCATCTCAGTATACCGCAAGCTACAGCTCGCGGTATACTGAGCCTAGGGTGACGGGGGGGACGCTAGTTTGTGTCCTCCCGTTACCCTAAGGAGAACTATGGGGAAAAGCCTTAACCCCATAGTTCTCCTTTAATGCACTTAGGGCTTTTATTAGATACATTGTTTAAAAATCCTCTTTTTGTCTTTTCTCATTATAGGCTGACAAATGTTTTTAAAAAAAAGCCATGTTTTATTTTAAATGATGTATCTGTAATTGTACAAGCCAATTAAAGTATTAAACAGATGAACACTTGACACCTTCATGCTGAAGTGAAATCTGTACTGCTGTCAGGTGCTTGTCTGCCCAGCACCTATTTTGTAGCTGTGGGGATTTGAACCTGGGTCTCTGGGGTAGAAGTACTGAGGCATTGCCTTTCAGCCAACTGGAGGACTCACCTTTGCACTGCAGGTATCTCTTCAGCAGCTTTTCTCTGGACTCTCTAGCGCCACTTGCTTGCCAGCTAGAGTCAATCCCCAATCATCTCAGCCTTTAAATACTGAGAACTTCCTGTGCTCTGAGCACGTTTATTTGGGTCTGTTCCTGTGTGTACTGCTGCTGGATTGATCGCTGAATATTACGGAGACTTTGGCCTGATTCGACTACTCTTCTGCCTGCCGATTTTGTACCTCGCTGCCTGTTTGGGCTAGGCCCTGGCCGGTTTCTCAAACTACTCTCCGGGATCCCGATTTTTTACTTCACTGCCTGTCTGTTGCTGACTGCTTGCCTGACACCACCTAGCCTCAGCCTTACTCCACTTTAGACTCTACCTTTCCACAGGTACCTTACAACTGCCATCTGAAGGCTGATGCTATATTTTGTCCAAGAATCATCCAGGCTGCATGCAATCACTGTCATAGCCAACCTATTGATCTCATAATTGAGGAACAATTTCAATGATGACTGGATTATCGCAAGGTTGGATCAACGGTAATTAAAAGAAAGTACCTGGACGGATTGCGGTAATCGACCGCACGTATTTTCGTCTGCGCATGTGCAGTGTAGAACGTACGAATTTTGACTTACGGAAACGTCACCAACCTTGTGAAAAATCGCACGATTGACCGAAGTTTTCTCACCTGCTGGTTAGTCAAAAGTCGATCGATTGTACAGTATTTGCACACTGCCCATCAACCTTACGAATATCGGACGAAAACGCGATCGCATACGAAAATCGGCTAATATTCGTAAGGTGTATGGGCAGCTTTAGATAGAAGGGAGAAGGGAATCCCTGGCCAGAGTGGACTTTAATGATCTTATCAGAACGCCATACTTTGTTTCAGTTGCATATCTTTTTTATATACTGTGCCTTGGCTGCAAGGAATCGTGCGCACTTGTGGATTTAAATTTTTACCGCTAAGTTAGTGCACTGTTTTTTGTAATGGTGGCTTTGGCCTGGAGGGTGTGCATTCATTTTTACTAAACAAATTAGATCTATTCTGCGTTTGTAATAGAGAATGTATAAGAACAACGTCAAAACAGTGACGCATAGCTGCATTAAAACAAAACAAAAAGGGTGCAATCACAACAAGTAGGATCAGCAAGTGGCTCTCCGTCACAGAATCTGCTGCTGCTTTACTGAATTACATAACACACCCTACCGGCAATGGTAGATGGTCTATTTACACCAGCAGAGGCTCTGCACTTATACAATGATTTTGCGCTCTGATCAGCATGTAGCAGCATAAGCACCATTTAATTAATGTCATGCATGGATTAGGTGCAAACAAAAATTGCTTTTCAACACACTGCCTCCTGCATCCGCTGGGCTAATTAGCGGAGGGAAGCGTGTTATAGACATGACCTCCAGTCTAGGCAACAATGAAGAGATGAAACGACTCTCTATATTATGGCTCTAATAAAATCGGATACCGCTCAGACATCCAATACCATATAAAATGCCAGGGCTGCAGCCAATGTGTTCTTGGAATCCACCTTTGCCCCCGCCCCACCGCTTTTAACTGCTAGAAGGCCGACTACCTCCTTGCTGGTTTCTTATCTCTTTTAGAAACACTGGTGACAAGCTTTAACCACCTTCATCATGAGGTCTTCCCCTTTTTGGCTGTATTTTTCCAAATTGTGAAACACAATCTAACAGGAGGAACATGGAACTGCAGTAGAAGGTGGGCAGGGCTGTGAAGCCATGCAGGGCAGTGCCAGACTGACTTGAAAAGGATGGCAATGCAGCGACCCATCTATAGGCCTGAGCACCTCTCATTAGATAAATGAACACCTGTTCAGACCCCTGCACTGTGCAGCATTGAAGTGAAAGCCTCTACGCTATTTTTCTGCAGTAACGCGTGTTACGGCTTGTCTCCACTGGTGGCTCATATTGAATGTTTGCAAACGCTTTGGAAACGCGCCTTACAGTTTTTAAACATACGCTACTGCTTTAGTGTCAGGAACCTGGAAGGTCACCCCTCTACAAAATGTGCTTGTACTGCGCTATTCAATAGCATTGTCAGAGTTGAGCGAAATCCATAAAAAAAAAAAAAAACACCCAAAAAACGTCCGAGTTTGCCGCAAGCCCTTAAAGATCAACTCCAGACAAATATAAAAACACCATTGAATGCAGCTGTGTATTCATTAGAGTTGATTCAACGTATATTTTTAAATGCAACCAGTCTAAGCGTCTGAATGTGTCCTGATATCACCCTTTTGTAAAAGCGCTCGGACTGCAAGAGGGAAGGAGCAGCACAACTGATAATGGAGAGCACACCAACAGGAGGACGAGCTCACCATTCCGTTTCTGCTTTTCCACTGACCAATCACATACCAAGGACAGCGAGGTGACTTAGCAGGAAAAGGAAGGTTGCCTAACTGGCTGTGTAAATATCAGGATGGACAGGAGCAAATCCTGTGGTGGACAAAATGGCTCCCATATATCTTTCGCAGACTTGAACAGTTGGACCGACTCCTCTTTGTTGAACCTGTTGCAAAGAGTCTTAAGGTGCCCATACACCTTACAATTATCTGCAGATTTTCTGTGGTCAGATGGAAAAAGTGCAACAGATTGGCCTAGGTGGAGATTACTCCATCCACACAGTTAAATGTAGACGGAGGAATCTGTTGCACCTTTTCCATTTGACCACAGAAAATCTGCAGATAAATTGTAAGGTGTATGGCCAGCTTTACCTTCAGATCCTGCCAGTAAAAACACTTCCTGTTGCAGGCTGACAATACTAAACTCTTGCCTTGCAATTAGTCAACCAGCCATGTGCATGTCCTTCAGTTAGCCTTGGGGCTGCCTATCAGGTCTGCAGGAGTAGTGGGCAGAGCTAATAGGCATCCCAATAGGCAACTGAAGGAGTACTCTTTTGGCTGCTCTTTAAAAAGGCACAGCTTCCGCAGAAACCAGATTCCCCCTTTATATTGTCAGGATTGTATGGGGGAATACAAAAGGGAACCCTGGTTGCTATAGGCACTTCCAAAAAGAACTTGTGTGTGTTACACTGGGCAAAACATCTAGGACAGCCATGGTCAATCAGGGTTTCCGTGGAACCTTAGGGGTTCTTCCAGAAGTTTAGGGGTTCCTTGAGCTGTGGTTGATTGACTTCCCATTTAATGGTGCCTATATAATTCCAGGGCCAGCGTCACTTGGCAGAGGCAGCTGCATGACACTAATGATGTTTTTAGCTGTCTGTAGGGTTGGCATTCTTCCCACTGACCTCCAATGCATTGGTTTCCCACACCGAAGCGCGACACTGCAAGCATTTCTCGTATTAAAAACAAAAGAAACACCGACTTACCGAATTCTACAGAAAAACGACTTCACTTGAGTGTACTCATACAGAGAAGCTGTAAAAAAAAACAAAAAAAAAACACACATTAGTAGTTTCCATATAGGTATTGTTTGTAGAGTAATTAAAAATAAATCAAGTCACTAAAGTTATATATTCGATATTTTTTTTTTTTTTTTAATTAGCTCAACTATAAAAAAAAGGATGACATGTGCACATACAACGAATGTTGTATGTACTTCAGTAACACTCCGATCACACGGTAGGTGCTTTAAGGACACATGCTGACTTGTACCAGCCAAACATGTTTGTTTTGCGGCAGGCTGTCCAAAAGTGAAACTCCAGCCAAAACTTTTTAGTTCCTTTGTATAGATCAGAGAACAACTTAACCTTTGCCATGTTCTTATTGTCATCTGTGTTCCCCCTCCGGGAGATTTCCCTGCACTTCCCACCCCCAGAAACAAAAACAGGTAGTGTAAAGTCCACTAAATAAGGGGAAATTCCATCTCTGCAAGTAGTCACCAGAACAACCCCACCCAAGCTCTACTCCTGCTCTAGGGACAACTGTAAAATGGTCACCAGTAAAAATAATGAGGTTGGATCTACCCAACAGGTACTCAGACGGTAATAAAAACCAGGGGATTCTGCCCCTTTTCTGCTGTATCCACAACTAGGAACAGAGGTTTTGGCTGGATATATATTTTATAGGCACACAGTGGCCTTTACATTGCAGCCCTGAAATATGATTGCGTTCCAGGGCGAGCTAGACAGTTATTGTCTATCACATTCTGGATCTATGTAATATACAAATATAGTCTCCTATAAGAACGGCATGCAAATAAAAGTAAATTGGGCCTTGGACAACATAAAAACATTTTTTTTTAAATAGCCCAGCAACACCTTCTATAAGAACTTCCAATCCCAGTGGCCATATTTCTGAGTCTTACCGGTCTCTGCTTTGATGTTCCAAGGCAGAAGAGGAGACTGGGTGGTGTGTTTGTAGAAGACGCTGACATCCTGAGGAGCCAGGAGCTCCACAAAGCGCGAGGAGTCCAATAGCTTCTTCTTGCAATTTAAGATGTAAGCAGCCTGGTCGGAGATGTGCACCATCTTCCCCGATGTCAGCGAGAACACGATGACAAATGTATCCTGGGATGGGGAATGAACAAAAAATAACAAAAAACAGAGTTAGACTTACCGGTTACTCCTTTTCCAGAAGTCCTCCAGGACAGCACCTGAGAATTAGGCTCCTCCCGCCGGACAGGAAACACATCACCAGATCAAAATAAAAGACCGCCTCTTACAACCCTCTTCAGTTAACATGAGAACCGTAGGCTGGAACTGAAATAAAACAGACTAGAGAACACACCACAAAAAACCAACACATATACAACTACATCAAGGGAGGGAATTGGCTGTCCTGGAAGACTTCTGGAAAAGGGAGTTATTGGTAAGTCTAACTCCGGTTTTCCCCCAGACGTCTTCCAGGACAGCCCCTGAGATGATAAAAGGGGAACTTACCAGACTTAGGGTGGGACCACAGCCTGAAGCACCTTCTCGTCAAAAGCCCGATCATGGCTGGAAAGGAGATCCAAATGATAATGCCGGACAAATGTTGAAAGGCTGGTCGATGTGGCTGCTTTACAAATTTGCTCTGGTGTTGCACCTGCCTTTCCTGCCCATGAAGTGGCTAAGGCCCGGGTTGAGTGGGCATTTAGAAATGGAGGAGACACTCCTTTAGACTTGTCTGTCTCTATTATGGCCAGCTTAGTCCATCTAGCAATAGTCGATTTGGAAGCCTGTTTCGCTTTACTTTTTCCAGCGTAAAGCAAAAATAAAAGCACTAGAAGAACAAAATTCCTTAGCGATATCAATGTAAGACACCAAATAACGTCTGATGTAAAGCTTCGCATTATTGGGTATGTCACAAAAAGTTGGCAGAATGATATCCTGAGATCTATGAAATGTAGTGGATATCTTAGGCAAAAATCCCGGGTCTGTTTTGAGAACTATTCTATCTTCACACAGAGACAAAAAAGGCTTGTTAATAGAAAGCGCCTGTAGTTCGCCAATTCTTCTGGCTGAAGTGATTGCAACCAACAGTACGGTTTTAAGCGTTAAATACTTCAATAGAGGTGTCCTTTAAAGGTTCAATTGGGTAATCTGTCAGACCCTGCAGTACCAGGGATAAGTCCAACTTAGGAAAAGTACAGAGAATTACAGGCCTGATTCTTGACAAATCCTTAAAATCTAGAAATCAGAGGATCTTCTAAAAAAAAAACCACTCAATGCAGCTACCTGAACTTTAAGAGTACTAACAGCAATGCCCTTGTCAGCTGCAGCCTGCAAAAAATTCAATATGACTGGAAAGTCTGTATTTCTGTCTGAGTCACTCATCCAGGAGTTAAACTTTTTCCAGATCTTGTTATAGACGTTCCGGGTGACAGGCTTACTACTGTTGAGCAGAATCTGAATGGACCTTAGAGGAAAGACTTTACTTTTCAAAATTTCTGCTTGAGAAACAAAGCTGAAAGCGGTAGGTTCCGAATCCTTGGATGAAGAAGTATTGTGAGATTAAATCCTCCCTGCTGGGCAACAGCCATGGAGGCAAATCCTCAAGGGACTGAAGGAGAGAGAACCAGGCTCTCTTGGACCAATATGGGGCTATCAGAACAAGATTGGTCTTTTCTTGAAGCAACTTTTGAAGAATCCTCGGTATCAGATGAAAAGGTGGAAAGGCATATGCAAGGTCGAAGGCCTATTGACTGGTCAGAGAATCCACTGCCAGAGCACCTACTGGATTTAGTGAAAATGTCTTGAGCTTGGTGTTTGCCTGAGAAGCAAAGAGGTCTACCTCTGGAAGACCTTCCGAGGAGTTTGCAATGAAACCCACAGCCTTGAAAATAACAGAAAGGGAATCCAATAAATGATCCCTAGGGGTGCCTGCCAAGAGGTGTGCCTTTAATTGTGACAACCAAAATTCCAGATTTCTGGCCACACAGGTAGAGGCCAGAGCTGGTTTTAAAATACTTATTACCGAATCCCAGGCTCTCGAGTAGAACTTTAATTTTCCTATCCATGACTTCTTTCAAGACCCCCGTATCTTCAAAAGCAAGGTCAGAATTTTTAGAAACCCTAGAAATAGGAGCATCCAATTTTGGAACTTTCTTCCATACTAGGGAGGGGTCCTCATCAAAAAGGAAATCTCCATTTTAAGCCGTTGGGACAAAAAGGGCTTCTTTTCTGGTTCTGCCCTATTCCTTCAAAACCACATCAGAAAGAACCTTATGTACTGGAAAAACTCGAGACTTTTTACGTTCCAAACCATGATACATTCAATCAGGTCTAGATAACTGTACTTTTTCTTCTTAAATGTTTAAGGTCTCATACATTGCCCCGAGCAGATCCTCCGCATCCTCTAAGGAAAGCCTGTACTTAGTCAGGAATATTCTTCCGCAACTTCTATCTTCCCCTCGAGATGAACCCAGATGAGAGGACCAGCCTCACTGCACTCATCTGGATCTGACACCTGAACAGAATTAACCTTCATAGCTAAAGGTTTACCAATGGAGGAAATGGGCACGGACGGGATTTGAACTGGAGGTCTCAAGTTCTCCATTAGTGGCCTAAAAGAGTGAAAAGAAGATGCAAGCACACCTTTAACAGAAGATAATAAGCTGCTGCAAGCACTAGCAGACTCTTGCTTTAAAACGTTATCAATACAGACTTGACATAAATGCTTAGGGTATGAAGCTCCCAACTTGGATCCACAGACTGCACATTTCTTTTTGGGCAGTGTTTTATGTTTTTCCGGGGCCTTAGCCTGAAAGATTTAAACAGAGAAGGCCACAAGAGCTAATGAGCACCTACCAGCTAAACCACAATCCCCCTGTGCCACACTCACTACAGAGATCCCACTAATCAGTGTCCTTGGTGAGCCAATTGCAGAATCAAAGCCACGGGATTCAGTGCCAGTAAAAGAAAAGGAACCATTACCTGGGCAGGAACAGTGCTGGGTGCTCCAACCACTGGAGCCTGGGCAGAATCCATCTCTGCACCTCTCCTTGTAAACGGCATCTGCCACAACCTGTTTTGAGGCTTTGCGCCAGATAAGCACCACTCGGGTCCTAACCCTTCCTCTGCGATGAAAACGTGGCTTGGAGCAGAGAGCCTCACGGCGCCTGGAACTTCGTCACCCCGCCGGAAGTAACTTACTACGCAACAGCCGCCCAGGTTCCCCTGCACCAAGCCAGTCTCAAGCCCCACACACCAATCGGGTGACTCCATCCCGGTACAGACATTCCCCAGGCACAAAAAAAGGAAAGGGGACCAGACCTCCCCCTACCCGTACCGAGGAGGGGTTCCAGGGACCAGGTAAGAGGAGTCTGCTTGAAAATAATAACCGCTCCACGTGGTGACATGTCTCCTCAGCCGGAGGAAACACACAAAAAAAACTGAAGGCTGTAAGAGGCGGTCTTTTATTTTGATCGGGTGATGCATTTCCGGTCTGGCGGGAGGGGCATAAATCTCAGGGGCTGTCCTGGAAGACGTCTGGGGGAAATTATGATAACCAATGGCATGGCTCCTTCTTCATGGAAGAAAAAAAAGGGGCAGGTCAAGGCATCTTAAAGCTGAACTCCAACCTTAACTTTTCCCCCCTCCGCACCTGTAGCAAACCCTCTCCTGTGTTGAAATAGATTACTCTCAATTCCCTGTAAACTTGCATATCCACAAAATACACCCTTGTTCCACACCTGCACTGCTATTTGCTTTTTCTGCCATCAATCATTTTGTTCCCAAACTTTATGTGAAAGAACAAATCCTTGGCATCCCTTTAGACTCGTCTGTTCAAGCATTCGATCAGAAGCTTGCAGAGCCAAAGTCTGCAGCACCCTGTGGCCAGCAGAGAGAAGCAGGCTTGTCTAAAGGGATCCCGGGGATCTGTTATTTCATATAGCGCTTTTCAGATCAGGGGCAGTGTACTGTGATGTTTACAGAAGCCTGCTGGCCCCACTCACCAAACTCAT